TCGCAATGTTTTAGTCAATATGACATTCCCAATTTGCAGTATCTTCTCAAATTTCACGCATCGACTACTGTATGTGAGTATTTGGGGATAAACACTGATATATAATTTGAGGTATTCCATCATGTGACTTTGACTTGAATAAAAATCATGATACATCTTCTTTTTGTTATTCATATTAGAATACACAGATGAATATACATTGATATATGTAATTAACACATGTGATTCAATTAGGTTTGATTTACCTGCGAAACAATTGAATAGAAAATATTCATCTGCCTCATATTCATTAGGATAATCTTGGACTTGATTTGGATTCTCTGTCTGTGCAAACTTCACTTCTGGGCAAGCTGGTTCTCTGATTATTTCGGTAAATTTTGCTATCCCCTCTGATTCATTATACCCCTGATTAGGGATTCTATTCAATATACACTGTTCGTGAGTGTATCCAATATCTGATACAATAACATCAGAAATATGACTACAATTCGACTCATTCGGAACATATTTTTCACATTCATTAGGAATATCATTAGAGATAAATTGGTTGTGAAGACCACTGACACTTGATATGATATCAGAATTCTATTCTTCTGAAATATTTTCCTCAAATTGATTAAGAGTTTTATTAGAGAATAATGGATCATCAGGGAATTCAGCATCTACCAAAACTGAATCTGGTTTTTGATCATGATTTGACTCATTCAGCATTCTATTCTCAGAGTTGTAGGAAATTCCATCAGAAGTATGTGAATTATTACGACAAACCATATCTGGTACAATGACATGAGAAATTTGATAAGTTTGTTGACTAAAAATTTTCGTCGCACAATGACTCTGGGTTTCACTCAACTCTGAACTGTTATGTGACGTTATACCACTTCTAGATAAAGATAACTGATCATTAGAAGCATCCATTTTAGCATTAGTTTCAGCAAAATGAACCATGGTATTACAAACTGCCTGAATATGTCCAGTTATACCACATTTAAAGCATTTAGAATTACGAAATATACATGAATTACATGGGTAAAACTTGCCATAAAACAAGCATTTGCTAATCTCGTGCTCATCTCCATGGACTGTTTCAAAGCTCAATTGTCTGGATAACTTTTATTACGCATCGAACTGCGACGACTTAATAAAGTAGTGGAATTCCTGATGTTCTGTCGAGTCATTTTATCGGATTTTTCTCTCTTACCGCATTCAGAATTTGTATACTTTACATGATCCAACAGTAGTTGCTTGAGAGTTTCATAGGAGAGTGAAATCGGTTTGTCTGGAAGTGCCAAAGTCTTTATAAGGCTGTATGCTTTTTTTCCGATGAATGTAAGGAAATGGGCCACAATATTAAGATCTTCATCATCTTCCTTTATCATAGCCCAGATTTCGAACCTCTCCATGTACTCCTCAAAAGCATTAAAATCTGAATTTATATCCAATCGTCCCATTACAGGCTCAATCGCGACGCCAATATGATAATCAGAAGTATTTGAACTGTAGTATAAACTAGTAATCCCAGGAATAACGCAATTTAATCAAGAAGTATTAGATGAGCCCGAACGAATGTTTTGTATTTGGAATTCAAAATTACAACAGTCATCAATACAAAGAAGTCATTGTTTTATTTAAACATCACAGTAGTCATTTCTGAAGTCGAAATCATCCAGCTGCGTCCAAGATATTCACTGTATTCCGTGAATTTTCTGAAAAGTGTAGACCTTCATAGTCTACTTAACAACCAAGGGGAAGGGAAAAGACTTCATACTACTGAGTTGGCATCTAATGTTTTATATGTTTATTGTCAAGAAATTCCATATATAGGACAAAAATCCGACCAATGCTTTCTAGTTTTCAATGACTGTCCAACTAAGATTAGTCCGTCATATATACTATAAGGTTAATAAATATTTGTCTTTATAATAAGTGATCAACTAACTGCCAAACTTTATTCTGCCCATTCGCTCATATTCATCTTTTTAACTGTTGTTTAGTATTAAGCTCAATTGTTCATTGATGTTTGCCAGTGGAAGTACAATATGATTGATCGTTGGCGTAGACGAAGAACAACAGCCTTACGAAATTTACAGTCAGCTGTCAAACTATTGTAGTTATAAGCTTTTGTTTTCGAAAAGAAATGAAGAGATCTTAAGATCAATAATTCGCTCACAAAACCAACAAAAACTCTCGATGAAGTTTAGCGAAATTATTTTCTTAACAATATGTTTACAGTACAAAGATTGTACTATTTTATAGATCACCGATAACTTCATTATCTCAAATTTACTCAACGTTCCCATTGAAAACATATGTCATTTACTCAAAAATATGAGACAAGCCTACTTAATGGGAAGAAGTATTTTATTGACTCATAGATTCGATTTGAATTCAGTCCCCTTGAAAAGGTTTATTTAGTAATAAATATTTAAAGCAAATTATTATTCAAGGTCATTTAAAGATCTACTCAGTGACAGTTTTTTTGTATAATCTAACACATTTTCTTTCATATAGCTGATAGTGCACTTCTGGTAAATTAAATAATTTATTAATCGACCCTGAGAAAGACTTTTATTAATTAGCAATATAAACACAAATTACCGATCAATCAAAAATATGATCTAAATTACGGTAAAAAAGATTGACGTAATAGATAAGTACTTATTGAAAAATTACTGATATTCTTGGAGAACTAAGAATACAGAGTTTACTGATGTCGTTAAATGTGAATGACCTTAAGTAACAAATTGAGTGAAGCTCTGAATCCAGATTCTTGTAAAAATCCCCAGTTTAAGGACTTCAGATACTGGTTCGAGAAACTTGGAAAAGAAACTATCGCTAACTCAGAAGTGTAACTATTCAATTTAAACTTAAATGACACCCTAATTAACAACCGTTTTCGTGGTAGTAAGTGTTCCATTTCAATATGTGAAAGCTTAATTCCCAATTACAGGCAAAGCGCCCTTATATCCTTTCAACAAGAATTTCTTAAAATACTTATTCTAGATAGATAAGTGAATTCATTTACTTCAACATGATCTGCATTATGTTTAGTAAAATTCGTATATATTCTAGATAAAATGTTGAACCTCATGCCTCACAATGAGTTAAACTTAAAACAAATGGACATTTGATTCAAGGCATGGATAAAGGACTATCGATCAAATCCTAACTAGAAACTTCACAGCATACTTCTTAGGTTTCTCTAAAATCCAGAACATTTGTTGGGATATGTGTTAATCTAGTTGCTTAACTCATTTGAATCTTACAAGTTTTATGTTCTGTTTCTGAGCTTCGAACATAACGAATCTTTGTCACCAAGATTACTAATACCCATGTTCAACGTTTAGCAAGGATATCTCTGAAAAGATATGGTAGGGATTTACTCATCATATATTATTGACTGACAATGAGTGTTACAGGACCAGTAGATAATACCAAAAAGTGTGCACACAGTTGATCCCACCTCGTCATGAATGTAGCACCAGTGTTTTCTCAACTGTGAGAGTTCTGTTGCTCAGATCATCGATTATTATTGGGACGGATATTGAATGAATTAATTTGATGAAGTTTCTGAAAGATAAGCACTGGGGAATCCATTATTGGAATACGACCTCAGATGACAATGAAAGTGTTATTGAAAGTCATGGGTTCAGCTGTCAATTTAAAAGTGACATCACGTGATACAGGCACCATTGGCGGTAGATGATGACCGTAAAATAAAAAGAGAACTTAAAAATTTCAAAAAAATTCCTGTATTTTGAATTAGAACAACATGTATAAGCCAAAGTCATTGTTTTCAATTAGACCCTCATCAAGTTTTACTTTGATATACAGTAACATTTACATACATATACAAAATTTTCAAACCATTCAAGGCAGTTTATGGACCACTGATAATACTGGAACAGATTATATAACCAAACATAGTAAGTAAAAAGCACAAATTGATAGTATGATGACAAGTGTACTAGTTGTGATAAGAACAGCAAAGTCTTGAATCAGCGTTTCATAATAGGAATTCAACGATTTGTGAAATGTAGACACTGAAATAACATTCACTAGTTTATGAGATTACGTAGTGCAAGAACAATTAAGAGAACGTCTAATGCAGCTAACTTCTGTCTATCATTCTCCTGCCGACCTATAGTGATTTCTCATATAAAAGACAAGTTACCTAGTTTTGCTACATCCATGTGTATCTACGAATCCAGCTGCTTCTATGGAGGAAGCTATTAAGGCACACAACTAGACAAATGAGCCAACGAGTTAGTGAACAACTCCCTTTGTGGTTCGAAAAGGGTATCATCAAAACAATATGCAACCTTGTTCTATCATACATGATCGATAGCTGCCATATAGTAGGTAGAAGGTCACTTAAGGTGATTTGTCGTATTTCTACTAGTTTTCCTTATGGAGTTCGATCTCGTCTCTTGCGCATAGCAGAAGCCAGTGATTCAGGCTAACAATCCACGTCTTTGTATTCTTAAGAAATCTGTTATATCCGTGTCTCTTCCTTGGCCGAATTAGTCTTAATTGTAAACTTTATTTATTATTATTTTCCATACTCTTTGTTCACTTATTTTTCCCGACACCTCTTTTTCTTCAAATCTACACCTCATTTCCCAACTATCTAAACACTTCTTATTACGTAATCTTATAATTTTTAATGAATGTCACTTCAGTGTCTATATTTCTCAAATCATTGGATTCCTATTATGAAACGCTGATTCAAGACTTTGCTGTTCTTATCACAACTAGTACACTTGTCATCATACTATCAATTTGTGCTTTTTACTTACTATGTTTGGTTATATAATCTGTTCCAGTATTATCAGTGGTCCATAAACTGCCTTGAATGGTTTGAAAATTTTGTATATGTATGTAAATGTTACTGTATATCAAAGTAAAACCTGATGAGGGTCTAATTGAAAACAATGATGTTCACTTATATATGTTTTTTTTCAAAAAAGAACTAACGAAATCTTTCTATAAGATAATTATTATAATCTGATAAACCCAATAGTTCATATATTAAACTTCTTTTTTGAAATATAAGTGAAAAGAAAACATATACAGAGAAGAGATCCCCATTAAAACCGAATATTTTACACAATAATGATTGACTGATGTTTTATCTTCAAATATTGTTGAAATTACCCCTATTACAAAGACAATGATGATTTAATCATTTAAGTATAATTAAATTGAATATACAAAGAACAGAACGATTTCTGTATTGATAGTAAAGAGAATAAAAAGTAATAATGGTACTTAGAAAAAGAGAACAAGTAATTCACAAATCTAACAATAAGAATATTAGTTCAACAAGACACAAAATCTATTGCCTTGATGACATAGATAGATAGATAGACAACCTGTCAGAGTAACAAATGTAACTACAAGAAAAACAAATGCTGACCTTTCAATGTATCAAAATTCTCTCTATTTGCTATTGGTTTACTTTTATAATACAAAACGATAGAAACAGAAATAAAACAATTTAATATTAAGAGATAATATGAGCAGCATAAAGTTGAATAGATATATAAGTATATATATATAAACAATTACTGATGAATATATTTGATCAAGTGAAAACTTCATTATGAGTAGGTGATGGGGTTGCAGGAACTTCAATTTCGTGTCCGCTTATTACAGCAACCATGTCATGTTGAGAAGCTACAATATAAGTAAATTATAGAATAAAAAGGTAAAAATCGGATTATATTATCTGTTACTTATAAAATAAAAGCGTAAGATAGCCAGTCAGTCACAACGTAGAACCTGGTACGTATGAACATTGGTTCAAGTCTTCATACCCCATTAGCAAAAAGGGATGAAACTGTCAGGTCAACTCCTAGAAAGGTGGTGATAGTAACAGCATCAGTCATAATAGAAAAAATTGGGCATTGTAGAAGAAGCTATGAATTAGTGAGATAAAGGTTATGAGAAATTTAGAAGCTGAGTTTGGGGAGTAAATGAAAAACAGAATGAAAAAAATTCCAACATGATTAAGACTTTACCAGAATTGAGTTATCCTCCTTACCTAGAATTAGGAATCTAATCAAGACATTGAGTACTCAGTGGCTCCGTTATGCTCGAAAATTATCCAAAGAAATTTATCATCAAACACATGTAGAGTAGTATCTTTCAAACTTGATGAGTATGTTAAAGTAGAAGGGTTATATCGAGAGAAATGCTGAAAAGTATATTCTCCCTTTTATAAGTAGTAATGTATTTCTCACTGGCACTAGCAGGTTGGAAAAAAATAGACAAATATTTCGTTTAAATTTCCGTTTAATTATATTCAGTGTTAGGTTAATGTCAATGGAGACAAAACCAAACAGTATCTGTTGATATTCGAATTTAGTGACAACCATCAATTCATTTGAAAATGTTGGGTATGCTAAGATTCTTCTCTATTCAGCATAATTTTCCTACTCCCATTTTAAAGTTACTTGGTATCATTATTATATCTTTACAATTGGCCTACTAAAGTATCCACGATGTTTGTTGATTAAATTTATTTTGATGTCTTTTAATCTGAAGTCATTAGTTAAATAATGATAAATTATTGTGCTTCACTTTTCCTCTGATTTCTTATAAAATCATCCACTAAAATAGCACACACATCAGTATGCGCTGGAAACTAGGACAAAAGGTTCGCCTTGTGCTCTTTAGATTGTTAATATCATACCTACATTTGAAAGCGTACGAGGACTAGTTAAAAGAATCTCAGATACCATTTTATTTCAGTTGTGAGTAATTCAACTATCTAACACCTTGTAATGTTTAAGTCATAAATGATTAAATAAAATTGATATACAGCCGTTGATTAATCGGGAATTTAATTGTGATTACCATCAGGCTATTAAATTGATAAAAATTAGTGGTTAATTGACCTTGGAGCACGATTCAAATGAAGTTGAGTTTGGTAAGCTCGTTGATTTGACCGTGAAGCTTTCACTGTATTTCTAGACATTATTAGAACTTAGTTTAAACAGAACTGAAGTAATAGAATGTATCTACGAGTGATGAAGAGTTTATTCTCTTGACAGTGAATTTGATGGACAGTTGGCAATAGTTATTCTGTGATTATCTAGGCATTAATGTTGATTATCTTCCCTTCTCGACCTCACAGTTGTTAATACTATTTCTAATTCGGTGTATTTTAGTGTGTTTGGTGGTTAATCTGGATAAATTTCAATATGGTATAAAAATCGAGGTAATTGACTTCTAATTGTATCCTATGTAGGAGGGTATACGCATTGTTAGTTGAAATTCATTAAACTATAGAAAACTATAGTTAATATAGTTGAAAACCAGTATGATTGCTACAGATATATCTATCATCTTATTTTCTTCAGAATCTTAGACATATTTGACCTTCTTCTATATCTCTTATTCCATTTAGCCACTTGTTCCTTTCATTTTACTATTTTTATCGTTATAATTATTTTTACCCAACTTTTTCCTTTTTAATATGCCTAACATAAACAAACTGTAGTAATTTGAACTGGCAAACACTTGTTTTCAATCATGATATTTCAGTAGTTGAGTTATCTGTTTCGTTTGCTGGAGCTTGTGTGTGCTTACAACTTATCGTATGTTGATGGAATAAAAAAATACACTATTTATTTCTCTATCTAGGTTTCTGTTGAGAGGTGATGTGGAAAAGACATAATAGAAAAATTAGATTGTCATTCTTCCGGTATTTATCCAAGAGTTGTGTTATGGTATTTTTATCTAATATGAATCGTAAACTCCATGTTAAAGCATCACTTATTACCAAGTATTTTATCGGTCAAAACGAATAGTCAGTCAGTTGGCATCGCCATCAGCGACGAGTAACAGTTACACATTTGATTGGATTAAAAATAAACCATTGGATGCTAATCGGTGGTCAGAAGGTTAAGCACTCTGCATAAGACTAAAGGTCATAGGTTCGGTCCATGGTGGGGTTGCGAACACCCACTGGTGAGGGGCTCCATACTGAAACAAAACAGAAGTCCAGTGACTTTTGTTTTTTGATTGGTGTCAAACTAAAGTCAGTCTATGACGTAAAACCTTGGATTTAACAACCTCCTATAATAACAGTTATAAATAATTCATTACTACAGGTGAGATTTGTGAAGGTTCTAGAACTTCCATAATTCAAATCATGAACCCATCTTAGACCACCAACGCGAACCTGTAAGTACTAAAAGGTTGCTTCATCCCAGTGTGAGACTTTTTAGTGGTGTGTACCCACGACGCCGCATCTGGGAGTAAAACCCAGAACGTCCAGTCCCGTTTACGGATGCCCAAACTTTAGATTACCGAGCCGGTATCCGATGGTGTTAATGTCTGACTTCAACTAATACACGATATTGCGCAATCCTCATCTAGTGCATGCAGCGGATAACTATCTCACACCCGATACGCATTGAACTTCGCTGGTCACGGCTTCTCATTAGGATCCCCACAGTTAAATATTGAAGCTAGTGACTAGTGAGCCCAGTGGTCTAGAGTTTAAGTCTTCGCACGCGAGACTGGAGGTCCTAGGTCTAATCCCTGGATATGGGTTTGTGGATGCGTAGTACCGGAGAATGCCACACTAGGGTGAAACGGCGGCCAGGTACTTCCAGGTTTGCAGTGGAGGTCCAACAAAGATTGGTTCGCGATGGAGAATCTACAATCTCCACAAATCACCTTATACAAATTACGAATAAATTACCCAGTTTTGTAACAGTGTTTTTGCATATATTTCATTTAATATATGTGAAAAATTGTGGAACAATCAATTGAATGGAATTCATCACTCTACATCAACTTCATTGGCTACGAGAAAGCATTTGATAGCATGGACACGACAACACTATGGAGGCTTCTTCGACACTATGAGAAGATAGTCAATACCATACAGAATTCTTATAATGGATTAAACTGCCAAATCGTTCATGAAGGATAACTCACCGACTCATTCGAGGTAAAGAACGGTGTCAGGCAAGCTTGCTTACTCTCACCCTTTCTCTTTCTCCTGGTGATCGACTGGATCATGAAGACATCAACATCTGAAGGGAAACACGGGATACAGTGGACAGCTAGGACGCAGCTGGACGATTTAGACTTCGCAGGTGATCTGGCTCTTCTATCACACACGCAACAACAAATGCAGGAGAAGACGACCAGTGTAGCAGCAACCTCAGCAACAGTAGGTCTCAATATAAACAAAGAGAAAAACAAGACTCTCCGATACGATACAACATGCCCCAATCAAATTACACTTAACGGAGAAGCTTTGCAGTATGTAAAAACCTTTGCATATCTGGGCAACATAATCAATGAACACGGTGAATATGATGCAGATGTGAAGACGCGGATCGGCAAAGCAAGAGCAGTATATCTGCAACTGAAGAACATCTGGAACTCAAAACAATTGTCAACCAACACCAAGGTTAGAATTTTCAATACAAATGTCAAGACAGTTCTACTGTATGGGGTGGAGACGTGGAGAACTACGAAAGCCATCATCCAGAAGATACAGATGTTTATCAACAGCTGTCTACGCAAAATACTTCGGATCCGATGGCCAGACACTATCAGCAACAAGTTACTGTGAGAGACAACAAACTAGATTCCAGCGGAGGAAGAAACGCTGGAAGTGAATTGGGCACACTTTGAGGAAATCACCTAATTGTGTCATGAGACAAACCCTCACATGGAATCCTGAAGGCCAAAGGTGAAGAGGAAGACCAAAGAACACATTACGCCGAGAAATGGAGACAGACATGAGAAGAATGAACAAAAAATGGATAGAACTATAAACGAAGGCCCAGGACAGAGTGGGTTTGAGAATGTTGGTCGGCGGCCTTTGCTCCATTGGGAGTAACAGGCGTAAGTAAGTAAGTAAGTATGTGAACAATAACAAATAATTGTGACTGCCTATGGCATATTTTAAAGTTGTAATTCAGGGTTTAAGAAAGTGAAAAGCACAACAAATAAGTAAATGGATCGTATTGCTATCGAAGCAGAAAATGTAATCAGTCTAATATCCTAATTTGATCTTAATGGTCATGTCAATCAGCATTCATTTACATAAATGTATACTGCAGGTTATTCAGTAAGTTACTTATTATTTATTTACTATTATTAGCTTTATACAATATTATATTTTCTGTAAAATATAGAATTCTCAGCACAAATGAACCAGCATTGTTATTACTGAGTTACGTTTATCTGTGTTGTCAATGGAAAGAGGGTTATTTATTTCTAAAGATATTGGAAATAATGATTATGATAAAACAGTACAACTATACATACATAGCATGAAACAACATTATACAGTAACGATAATAAAAATAAAAATAATAAGATGTACCTTGAATAGCTCTATGAACATCATTCTTAGCTTTAACCAAATATAAAGTAACTATAAGAAATAAAAAACCTCCCAGAGCACAAACAAACGCAGTAAGAAATAATGCTCTTTGTAAGCCTAAATATTGTGTTTCTAATGAATGCAGATCTGTAAGAGCTACTGCAATCTGAAACGAAAAACAAAAATGAGGAAAAATATAATTCTTATTCAATCTATTTATTACTTAAGAATAGTACATAATTACAACAATATGGGAGAGAAATAAATTATTCCAACCAGATATTCCTAGAAAAAACTAGTAAACCATCAGTAATAAAATAAAATTTTTATAGCACTATCATTTTTAGTTACCAAAGTCATCTTCAATTTTTGTTTAAGAAAAATAATAGGGTACATGAAACAAATTAGGTTAAACAATGTATTTTTATTAACTAGTGAATATATACTGACTTTATGAAAAGACTAGTACAATTTTCTTGTTCTATAATCAATATTTGATCTTGTTGCCTGATACGATCAATTGTTCTGTCAAGCATTTAAGGGTGTAACAGGTAAACGCCCCCAAATGCCCTCGTACGGCCGAGAGTGGGGAGAGTCTGCTCTACCTCTCGAAATGCTCTCACATGGCCACGCGTATATAGCCTCTCCCAGGGAAGTCCTACTCAATGCCTCTCACAGTGGTGGGGTGTTGTTTACGAAAGTGAGAGGACGAAAAGCTAATATCTGACGCTTTAACCGGGTTGGTGGACATGGAAAGTCCACCAAAGGGAGTTGGAAAACCCTGATCCCAAACCAATGGTGCACATGGGCTCCAGAATCCTGAGGAAACAAATGGCGTATGAATCAATCGTTGATCACCGGCTACCATGGGACTGCATCTCCTCACGATGCTCCACGGCCTTGTGGATCAGACCTTCAGGTCAAAGGCTCCGGGTGTGGTCCCCTAGGAAAACCACCTGCTTCAGTTCGGGCACATGAACAGTATCACAGCCCTCACGCAAATCTCATTTAATTTGTGCGGCGCATATGTATCTGGTGCTTCCTTGTACCAATATTTATGTGTTTAAATAAATAAATAATAAATAATGTAACAGATAGACACGTAATATTTCTGAATCAATACTATGTGTACACTTATGTGCCGAATTCACAAAGTTTATATTCAAAAGTAAAAAAATAAGGAGCACTAAATAATGTTATTTTGGAGGTTTGGTACACAATGATGATTCACAACTGAGATGTCTTCTAAATCTTATTGGTTAACCTTTCGTAGTCGATTGCAATACTGTCTGACAAATAGAATTTTTTTCTGAGGGACCACACTAAACTATTTCATGTGGAGTAAAAGAATTGATGAAATTTATTTGTAAGGGTTTGTTGGTAGTTCATAAAGGACTGTAGTGGGTCAGTCTGTTAGGATATATGAATCTTTAGCAGACTAACTCAAAAATACCGCCTAATCATTATTTTTAAGTAAAGTTGGATATTGGTTAACTACGATGCGTGTTCTGCCGGTTAGACATTCGTACATCCAAGTGTTGTTGTACACTGTTGTATCCCAAAGAGAATTACGAATAGTAATTTTTGAGGACTATTTATTGGTCAATATAATATGTATATTTTCTATTGTAATTAACCTAATCATATTCGTTTCCTCTTATCACTAACTTTATTTCGACCTTTGAACTATTATTATACGATCCTTGAGTTATCATCAGTTTATTGATTACTATTCACAGCCACATTCGGCTAAATATTGTACAAATGTTATTATCTATTTTATGGGTCGATATGGTCTGTTTGTTTGGTATATAAACTCAGTATGTTTGAAATACGATGATTCATACCACTGAGGCTGTTATTGGTGTTTTCGACTTAACTGATTGGGTTAGGCAGATCGCAGGACCGCTTAGCACTCTAGACTGCTCGTACGGCTTCGTGTCACTGTTCCAAACGACAATTCGCTGCTCTCTAATTGGCGGTCTCATCAAGTCACACATTTACGAGGTATCCACTCGGCCACAAGATATAACAACACACTGAGACTTGTAACCAGTACTTATCACTTTAAACGTTAATGGATTAGCCAGTGAGTAATAGAGGCTGAACAGCTGAAGTCCGGAATACTAACAAAGGGAAACTACAAACCCTTACTAATTCTATTATACTTGCCGAACAAGTTGGTAACAATCTGGACTTATTAGCTCAATTGAAGCGAAAGATACTGCCTTCGAATTCTAGTATGTACATAAACACTAGGATGGAGGTACAACCGGCTGATGAGTCCCAAATAAAACGTAACGCACACCTAGGATTTTATCACTGGTGACCACTCAACTTCACCAAAAAGACTACACAGGTATTTTCGGCAAGCTAACTTTGTAACAAAGAAAGCTGGAGATTACTTTTTTGGTATTGTATTCATTTAAATATAAAATCATCCAGTGGGAATGGAGTAGTAGAAGAATATCTTAATCTTTCACGTTAATATATATATATATATATATATATATATATATATAAAGTTAGATCTTATTTATTTTTTATTTATTTATTTAAACACATAAATATTGGTACAATGAAGCACCAGATAAATATGCGCCTCACAAATCTCATTCGATTTGTGTGAGGGCTGTGATACTGCCCAGGTGCCCAGACTGAAGCAGGTGGTTTTCTTAGGGGGCCACACCCGGAGCCTTTGACCTGAATGTCTGATCCACAAGGCAGTGGAGCATCGTGAGGAAATGCAGTCCCATGGTAGCCGTTGACCAATGACAGGTTCATCCGCCATTCGTTCCATCAGGATAATGGAGCCCATGTGCACCATTGGTTTGGAATCAGGGTTTTCCAACTCCCCTAGGTGGACCCTCCGTGTCCACCAACCCGGTTAAAGCGCCGGACATTCGCTTTTCGTCCTCTCACTTTCGTAAACAACACCCCCGCCACGAGAAGGCAGTGAGTAGGACTTTTGTGGCAGAGGCTATATATTCGCTGGCCATATGAGAGTATTTCGAGAGGGAGAGGTGAATCTCCCCACTCTCGGCCGTAGCAGGGCATTTGGATGGTATTAAGAAACGAGAGGAAATCACTTACCCGACCAACGATAGCCGGACTGATGGCATCCCCTAGTGCATGACTCATAACCATTTGAAGCGCAGATGCTGTCGAACGGCGAGTAGGAATAACTACCCCCTAAAGGAAAAGAGTAAAAACTTAAATGAATTACTTCTGTGAAGTGACCGAATAATACATTCCTTTAAATCACATTCTAATAGTACACTGATAGAGACAGAAAATAAAAACGAACGAAGGAGACATTTGTATATGCTTTTTATATATTAACCAATACATTAAGAACTATTGATAAGGGGGCAAGTGACCAAATTTGTCAAAATAGTGGTAAGATAATTCGCATATCAATGATAATAACCAAGTTAAAACGTTTGAGGAATTCAAAATAACATTTCATGAATATTTCAGGTAAACTTTTTGACGATGAGTTTGAGGGATATATAATACTACACTAATAAGTGACAGAGATGCTTGTTCAGAAATATGTTATCTGATATGGGTATTGATGTGAGTACATCAAGCGCAGTTTCTATATAAGACTTCAGTTTCTCCCTGTATAATCAGTATACCCATTCAAACAATCTCAATAGTCGAATATCTGTCATTTAGAACTATGAAACATATCAAAAGTATCTGAAGCAATAATACTGGACGCTTGTTATTATCGATAGTGGACTTATTATAATGTATCACAATAAAGAGATTAGTTGACGAATATTTTACCCAAATAAGCGGTCTCTTTGCAATTCCCATCGTAAAAGAATAATGAACTGAAGAAATCTGTGATTAAATTCCTTCAATCAATACATAGTGTTTCACAGTTACTATAACGGTTGGTTAGGAAATCGACTAACCAATAATCATAAATACAGATCAAACTATTGATCTGTATCATCATCTGTTGGTAGGCAATCGGGGATCTAGATTATGCCACAGGTGGCACAACCTGACGAAAAATTCTTGCTTTTCTGAAGAGATTTTATTAGCTGTCAACCTGATGGGACTGATGAAACTCTCAAGATTTATTTCTCTGAGAAATAAAAGGCCATAATTCATATGGGAAGCCAGTCTGACTATTTATTTGCTTACCAATATTTCAATAAGCTTGGTAAAGTATGAATCAAGAAATTAGACACAACCAAAAGACAATTGTCAAGGAGTAAAAAAGAGGAAAGTAGTATGATAACAACAAGAATAAAACAATCAAAGGATGAAGTTTAGACAAGAGTATGTGGTTACAGTGAAATGTTACTGCAACCTAGTCAAGTAACCCATTAAATTAAACTGTTTTCTTGCTAGAGGATTGCTCAGTGAGAGCTGAACAATTTACCAACAAATATCGTCAATATTGAACCAATATTCATCATATGGACACTATGCATAGGGGCGTAGTATATCCATACTTTATTCTTCCTTAATCTGTTTTATTGAGTAAACTAAATCACTTTGGTAAGATTTTGTTTGATCTGTACAGTCACCAAAAAAGCTCCAGTGTCTGGGAGTGACTTCAATGTAACTCAGGTCACACCACTGCCATTCAACTTGAGTAGATCCATCATCAATATTAGTTATCTAAAAGCATAAATGACAAATTTTTGTTCATGGCGAGGCCACTACTAAGGGAGTCCTAAAAAGGACTACTATGACAGTATACGAACTACACAAGATGTGACAATTCTGGGAATCAGCTTATAATTCATGCACTCTTCTAAGGGTGTTATCACTTCTTACTTAGTGAAGCTGTATATGATATCCAAAATGTATCACTAAAAGTAAACATCTGTCTTAGAAAGATATCTGTGTAAACGCTGGTAACTGAATTTTATAATTAGCAAACATATTCGACTGAATAGATTATATAATCAAGTGTAACGTTGAAAATTTCTCATACAATCACCTTCTTTAAACTAATTTGTAACTTCACTAGTGTGATTTTGAACATTAACCAAAGTTTTAAAGTTAACAGCTGAACTACAGACGTATCAATAAATATAGATCAAAAACATGGCATTAAGTAAACCACTAACATTGTAAGATGGATATATATATATATAAAGTAAGAAGATAAATAGACGATTAAAACTGTTCGTATGTTTTTTGAAGGATATTCATTTAAATAATCTATTTTTCACTTCCAACTACTAATAGGATGCATAATAAACGATTAATCAATATTTACCATAGTCATATCAGTCACAAGTGCCCATGTGATGCATAGAAGAAATTCGACGATGAAAACAAGAGCCTGCAAAATCAAAGCAAAAGGAAAACGATTTGAATTAAATGGTTTGACACCAAATACAAAATTAATAAAGACACGAAACTATGATAAAAAAACAGTTCTCTTGTATTTGGTTCTTCTTGATCAGACTGTTGATTTGTATGTTATCCCTTTCTTTTAAAAGCTAGTCTTTTGAACACTCATTATTCTAGAATATCGTGTCAGATAAACAAATTCAAAGTAGTGTTTATGAATTTATTGGTGAAAATAATTGCAAGTACGGTGTCATTAAATATAGAATAATAATACAACGTTCTCAGATGACCACTCAAAGATTCTTACTCAGATAAACTGTTCAAAATATATACAGTGTGTCAGTCTAGTATATTTAAATTTTAAAAGCTTGTGAATCTCATCTAGGTGTACTTTTCTATGGTTCGAAACGTTCACTGACAGAACAGTTTAAAACTATGAAAAGTTAACAGCGACTACGACGAAATTTTCCTTTTAGTCAAACATCCCACATATAGCTGATTGCGAAGCTCGAAATGTATTGAACACTCTGAGAGATAGTATCTTTTATTTGCAAAATGGTCCTTATTAACAACTGAGATTTCAAATAAATGAAAAATACAGAAATCAGTTACCAAAACTAGTAGACATTTTTAAATTTGCCTGTAAGTCATACATTCCATATTTAAAAATTAAGTTGTAGTTGTCCTCAAACAAACCATAGATTAATAAAACTGAAATGTTCAGAAAAGGATGAGAACCATGAAAATTTCAGAATTTAGGTCATCAAAGTTTTATTTCCCCTAGTTTTAGCAATGGCCTAAGATAATGATTTTATTGCCTAATAGGCTTCACGATAACTTGATATCTGAATTCAGAAGAATTGTACACTACTCAATAATTAAAATGTGCAGTGTATTACTGCATACAAGATTCTTGGTTAGAAGAGCAATTAATATCCTCTTAAAGTACTGATAGCTCCTTATCTGAACCATCCAGAAAAGAGAATGATACTGATTATATGTAATCACCATATACTCTTGTATACTAAGCTGAGGGGCAGGCTTATGTATGAATGATGTTTGCTGCTAGACTGATTACATTAGGATGAGAAATGATCTTACGAAAACCACTAAAAGTCAAATGTTCGCGTAGTACACTCATAACTAATCAAATTAATCAATAAATACAATTTTAGAAACAAGACATATTTGGCCTACAGACTTTATTAAAATAGCCAGTTTACTTATGAAGGACCGATTTAATGTGTAATTAAAGAGTAGACCGGTATTTATCACTGACCAGAAGTCTAGTAGGTTTAATCTACTGACATAGAGTTGGAGCGTAACATTTTAAAACTAACCACGTATAAAATAACCGTTAGTTATAATAAATATTTGCTAAACAAGATTGGGTTGGTAATCTGTCTTAATATACTTTTGATTAGTGTTTCAGAAGATAAGTTAGCAAGTTTTGATTAATTTTAATCCCAATATTTATAAAGTTATAACTTACAATGCATACGTAGAAATTCCAGGATGGAGACACCAGAGCAAAGAATAAGAATGGAGCACATATAAAGAGACTTGCAGAACAAACATAAGCATCTGCCGCAGGAACCCATCGACGTAAATAACGACCTAGTTTTGCACCAGATAAGACGCCGAAAATACCGGCAAGACATGTTGAGGCTCCAACAACAATAGGAATACTTAAAAAAGGAAAGATGCGTAGTTAATTAATAAATGGAGGCTATGAAATACTGAATATATTAGTTAACATATAATTATATAATTCTTGAGAACGTTTATGTAGATTTTAACCACTATGTTCACTTAAAAAGCGTTAAAATTTAAGTACCAGTTATCATTAGATTTATAAACATATAACATGCTGCTTGCGCCCATAATTTGATGATCGGACTTAAGTTATTTAGGACAGATATACTGATACCAGATGGGATACATGCCGAAGTACAGAAATGTTTGACTCCTAACAATACCAATGATTGCAAAACTTGCTTAGTATCAGCTTTCTAGAAGAATAGATATCATCTAGAAGAACTCAATCTTTAAAATACCAACACGAGTAAAATACTTTATAGAACCTAAATTTGATTGCAATATAGACGAAAGTAATAGGAAAGCACATAAAAGGTTTATAATTATTAACTATAAAAATTTATTGTAAACTACATGAGTTCCGAATAAAAAAGAGAAACTGCCAATGATTCTCCACCTCAGAGTTCGTCAAACATGATGAAAACCGACGTTCTAATTGATTATCGTGGATTTGGCAATTGGATAATAACTAACATAAGATTCTAGCACGAAAAATATCAAAGTTAGGTACGTTTCGGTTGCAAAATAACGATATGCCAACTCTTGGTTATTGAAGCGTCTAAGTATATAGATTTATTCCTATGATCGCGTTTGAGATAGTAAAAATCAAATTAACCGTTGAGGACAACATAAAAGACTTACTTGTAATTCCTCCAGGCAGAAGGATCGTCGTTTATTGCATTTAAAGCTGACTGGATTAGATCAATCGCAAACCAAGAAAGTGAACCCAAAACAAAACAGACACATGTATATCCACAGCTAATACACATAAAGGCTGGGTTAGATAGTAAGGATTTTATATCTAGCCACCACGAAGTGGTGCGCATGTGTGAACCTCCTTCTGCCTCACCACGAGGTGGATCTGAATGCAAAACACTCAATAGAATAACACAAACAAAGCCAAAAATCGGTGTAATTCGTAAAGACCATTGCCAAGATCCTGTCAGCCGAGTTATTTCTGAACCAACTATGAAACCTAGTCCACTAAAAAATACAACCAAATTAGGGGGTTGAGTTTACGCAAATGTATAAGATTTAGTAAAGTCTAAATATTAAGAAATTCAAGACGGAATGAGGATAAAAGATTACTGTTAAATTGAACACTAGTTGTATCAAGTTTATACACAAATTGGACGTGTATGTTTATCCATATAATGCCCCAAAAATCAAATGTTGACTAGTATTACTAAGCAATAGTTATTGCTACTGAATTTTAAATAAATATGACTTTTAAGAGTCCCTTGACAAGGCATTAAAACAACAAATGATACTAAATTACAAAACAGATAAATCCAAAACAACTTGTGAAGAAACTATAGCGAATGTGTTGTGGGTTTACCGTCATGTATAAGACAAATAAGTCATTACTACAGAGCGAACTTCCCTTATCAACCACTCAAGACAATATCACCATTACACCCAGAGAAGGAAAGAACAAAATATCCATAGCCATATAAAGTTATAATAGCGTTTTGTTGTAGTAATCCTTCTCATAATGTATCTGAATTTCCTGTCTCTGTATGTCCGGTTTTAAGTTGTTCCTTACAAGTGTAAAGTACATTTTGGGCAGTACCTAGCTTCAGTGAGTCCAAATACACCTGAACTAAAAAGACGCCTAAGAGATACTTTCGAGATAAAAAGTAGATAGCAGTCATTGTTATGCAACAAGTTTGTTTTCGATCCGAAACAAATATAGGGACGTAGAAAGATGCTTCGATTGCTGTGTCTTACGACTGTCAATATGATGTCAAGTAAACAAACTAAGTAGCATAGTTGAGGAGTATGGTATATGTACTTATGCCAAGGAGTTTTAGTTTTAGCTGTCAAAGCCTTTTGTTTGACTCGGCTCTAATGTTGAAAGTTTGGGGCCCGTATATGCAACTTGACGTGCAGTATCAAGAGACCAGGCATAATATTTCATAGTTTGGAGTCGTTAGCACATGGTGAGTATACAGAAAAGAATGAAGAGTGAGATCTGACAAAGGAATTAAAAAAATGGTGAATGAAGGAGAGGTCGCAAGGAAAGTAAGATTAGCGTGCATGCTGTCAACCTATGAGTTTTGCTTGAAGAGCAAGTGAAGTCAGATTCAGTACTCTTTCTGTTCCCATACAGCTTTCCAAAGAAAAATACGTATCTATGGTGAAATGGTTAAACTTACATGCCAATACATGTGACAATCGTCTTGCATATGCCTCGCACACAATGAACTTTAAATGTAACTGTAATGATCTGATCATAAACAAGTAGATATAACACGAGATCCGGCGTTTACTGAACAACAGAATAGATACAATATGACAGGAATCCTTAGTAAATTAACCCTTTAAAAGCTCTCAATTATTGACACATCGAAAACTATTTTTGCATGTCCGTATATATGTGTTCAGCCTTGGAGTTTGGTCAAAAAAGTAGTCAAATATTTCTTTTTAGGATGGCAAGTGCCTTAAGCTTTATAAAAGATAAGCAAATGAGCAAAATTGAATGTAAAAGTGAATCTACAAACAATCATAAATCATTCATTTTAAGACAAGACGACAACGGATCTTACCTCCCAACAGGTGCTGCAAAGTAAAACAGACCTAAAACTTTGGTTCTTGCATTACCCGCAAACAAATCAGATAGGATTGTGGGGGCTAATGTGGAATAGCTGGCTTCACCGGTTCCAACAAAACAGCGAGTAACTAAAAATAAGCTGAATTGCTAAAAGCATTATAACTATATCATCGTACATGAGCAGGGATAAAGGAACTCCCTAAAGTAACGATTACCCAAATCGACAGACCAATCTGCATGATTCGTTTTCTTTCCCAACGATCACCGAGGTAACCAGCAATAGGACTAAGGATAGTGTAGAATACAAAAAACATGGTCTGTAGCTGGCCTAGTTTTGAGTCGTTTATCTTGTAGTAGCTTTTTACATTCTCGGGAACTCCTGATTAAAACTATTATTGAGACAAAATCAGTATTACCAGCGATTGTAAATCTGTCCATATAATTCAAAACATTTATGAGAATAAAAATGCAAACGGTAATTGTCTTGCGCTTAGGTGAAACCATACAGTCTGATATTTCGCTGCTACTGCCATCCTTAATGGAACGGTTGCAAGACCGATCGGACGAGTTACCAACCCCAAGGTCACTCATAAGGCATTTAAATTGTGGGTCTGAACAGATCCAATATACAATGACTAAGTCATGAGCATGTGTAAACCGACTGACTTTTTTGTACTCGCTCCTTATTACTTCTGTACGGACCCAAGTATTTGATGATGACTAATGGGTGTTTTTTTAAAGGAGACTGGTAAACTAGTAAACTCTATTGTTTTGACCGTTAATAGCGTACCAAGACTACTACTGTTTGCACTTTGAATGAGTTTCTTTCAGTTGAAGTTTTTCGATTAGAGTATCATTTCCGCTTCTAAAGTAGATTATCGTCGGTTATTAATAGTACTTCGTTTTTTTCTATTGTATGTGTTAGTACTTTGGTCATAACAATTTACAGTTTCCCACCTTTTTTGGTCATAGATCATTTTTGTCTCTAGTTATTTTCAAGGAAGACCTCTGATGACGGGCAAGTGCAAAAAAAGCAATTACCAACGTCCAGGCTATCGATACCTCGTTGACAGTGGCATGCATTGCGATGAGTGCATAGGCAACCACGAAGATTGAGCGAATTGAACGCCTGCGGCTTGAAATGGTTCAGTAAAAATGTTTGCGTATGACTTTGTCAACAGTGCTGTTCGGATGCAAACAGCTTGTTAACCGGGGCCATCTCAGTAGTAAATACTTCAAAAAAGTGTCATGGCACACACATCGGACAGAACTCGCTCCGTCGACATACAAATTGGGGTGAGGAAGGCTCAGGTTAGTTCGAAAAGTGCTGACTCACATCGACCAAAGGAGGAAAGACAGTCCCCAAAGAGGTTTGACTTAACCAAAAACTTAAGAAGAGAAGTTTCTTCTGTATCCCGTCTTCTAAATGGCACGCAGCAGGAGACGTCTAGAAGCCGCAATCGCAAGGCTCGTTCATCTTCTGACCCGACTTCCTAAGTCGTCAACAACCCTCCGGAATCCCGTGGTGTGCTTGATGCCACTGTGGTTACTGCTCCAACCAACGTTGACGAATGGGCACAGGTTGTAAGCAAAAAATGGCATAACGATACTGTAGGGTCAGTGAAATGTCACTGAATATCGAACAGATTATCGATGCCTGTCGAGGTCAAGGATAGTCAACGCGCATCAATCATACGCCATGAACTGGCCCACTGGTGAGCAAGACTTTGAATAACGCAACCTATTACTACGATTTTTCTATTGTACTCTACACTTATTATTTTTCCTTTTTTACGTCTCCTATGTTAATCAGTTGCTCCGAATATTCGTTGCTTCATATCAATGTTGATTAGTATTTCAAGTGAAATAATTAGTTCAATCGATAGAACTAACCAATCAACTACGACTATAATCGACTATCGTGGTTCTTTAACAAGCATTAGCAGCATGTAAATGCTACTGTGTAATATGTCTGTGAAAATATCATTCACTCGTAAGTATAGCCTCAAGGCAACACGAACACGTATCTGTTTGCAACTTATCCACTTGTATAACCAATACAGGATAAACTGTCGATTATAAGTTCATCTTTCTGCTTAATCACTATCAACTAACTACTGTCAAAAACTATCTACTAGAATATTTTACTTTCTTGACCACTGCCTGCCTAATTTCCAATTGCTGAGTTCCATGGCGAATCAGAGGATACAAATGCTAGAAATTTACGGTGAGTTTGAACTATAAATTTCCTGCAATGTTAGATCTTGTTTAGACTGTTTCGCCAGGCAATGCTACGTATTTGGCTCAAATTAAATTTGGACGTATACCAATTCAGTCTACAACGCTTCGTTAATCTACGAATTTAATCAACAAATTTCAATTAGTTCGGAGCAAGAGTAACCCAGGCGAGTTTCATAACTGTGTTAAATAATTTCGTATAATGTTTATGATGTCTAATAACATTTCGAGGCTACATTCACTTAGAGTAGTCATACATTCTGTCACTGCCGTCAAATATTAGTCGAAGCCATGTACATTTATGACTCGTAAGTCGTCATGCTGTAGAAAAACGTATTACGTGTACACGAGCAATCTTAGTCCATGTCCTTACTAGACAATTCATCGTATTTAATGTCACTTAACACGAGATAATAAGCTCCTTTACGAAACGATCACGTTATCTAAACCTAAACTTTAGTTAAATTGGTGGTTACCATTTTAATTATTGTTTACTATGCGCTTTGTATTTGCTGCTATCTCATGGTAAATCATGGCTCGATTTCCTTATCTTACGAATGTCATATGAATTCCGTCTTCGGTTTATTCACATGCAATACTGGTTTAGAAAATATCTAAACCACCTCTAAAACTCTCCACGAACACCACGATAATGTTTGCTACGTCACACCCAATTGCTACATGAACAATGCCCAAAAGAACGATCAGTACAATTGTCAGTACACGAAATGGTGTTACTTCGATATGACATTACAGCACATCCGAACTATTGTAGTTATTCAGCTTCGACGTCGTATTTTTTATCTTATGAAGTATTGTTTCCGCGTGGCTCCTATCTAGCAGATGATTTCGGTACATCAATCGGCTGTCCAACTACTCGACGATCTAAAGCCTGTCCAGTTCAATTGGTGGTTTGACGACACTCATTCACGCGAATCATCACTTTACTCAGTCGAGCGAATCTCCTGCAAACTGACAACGAAATTGTCGTCCCTACCCCAACACTGACAGCATTTTTCACCGATATCATTGACA